ACGGCTTCTTGTAAGCCAAAGAGTCCTCCATGGGAGATAAAAGCGCGCATGTTAGGGTGTTCTAAGATATCATTCTGTGGCAACCAGTCCTTAATCCTAACATTAGCTGGTAAATTTGGTATGCTGTCGTTTTCGAATTTCCATAAAATGCGTTGCTTCAACTGGCGGAAGACATTGAGAAATATGTCTAGCTTTTCTGCTGGCATGTCCTTGGAGTTAATCATTGTACCAAAGCTGAAGTAAATAGCACCATGTTCCGCGTCATCTAAGAATTTCTGTAAATCGGTGGGAAGTGGCTTTGTTGGATAGATATGTAGGCCCCCAATATAAACCATGTTGTCCATTTTGGGCATCACGTTCGCTAAAGGCGCGTAACTATTGATCACTATAGCAGAATGATTTTTTTCCATCGCCGAAACACTAGGGAATTTAACTGTTAAAAGTTATAAACAAATGTTGGGAATTCTCTTTTTGTCACTCATAAATATAAGGTGCAATCCCGTATTCCTCGGACTAGGACTAGTAAAACTGTCAAAAAATAAAAATTCGCTTAGAGCGAGAGAGTAACATTGAAAAGTACGGGATCGCTTTCTAGTAAAAAATGGTAACTTCTGTCAACTTCAACATAACCTCCAAATTTTGGTTGTAAATTTTTACTTACTTTGTATGTAAACACACTCAGATCACACATGTAAATAACCAAAAATACTTTCAAATTCATAAGAATCCACTTAAACAAGTTATTAATTAAATACTTTTCAACATGAATTAGCAGAGTTCACTTTTCTTTTGTTTACAATTTGATTGCCAAACACACTACAGCTGATCGTTTGACACATTTACCAGAATTTACCAGCAAAAAATTATCGGACTAAAACTGATAACTTCTGACAGAGAGAGAACCGTATTTACTCTCTTTTTTAACCTCTCAGTAGTCAGAGAACCGAGTACGGGAGCGATTTCCAGTAAAATCTGACTGATTCTGACTAGTCCGGACTCGTACGGGATCGCAACTATAACCTCTTACTTGGCAAATGTCCAAAGTGTTTCTGCACAAGCGCATCCAATGCCGGAAAGTAATCAAATTCACGATTTAAATCAACCCGAAGCGTATAAAGGCTATTCACAGCGCGTTCAAAAAAGTTCATGCGATCAGAATATGGTAAAAATTCCATTGGCACATACGACCACGGTGTCACAACACCGAACATCTGACTAAAGTAACTTTGCTGCGCAAATGTGGCGGAACTGACAACGGGTATTTTATAGATGTGAGCCAAGGCGAGAAAGGGCTCTTGATGCAACTGTTCTACCAGCAGCAAATCGTAGACGCCTTCAGTTTGTTTAGCATTAATAATTTCCTGAACTTTTGGTTGCGTTAGCGCATGTTCATTAGTGATCACAGTTACATACTTTAGGAGTTCGAAATAAAACGATAGGCTAAGTTTTAGTTCGAATACAGATTTTATTCCGGCTTTTTCATTGGCTGAAAGGAGAAAGTATTAAATTTATTTTAATTGTAAATGTTTGAATGGGTCATAAGATATTACCAAGCTTCATGACATCAATCTCTGGTTCAATGAGTATCTCTGTGTAGTTGCTACCCAAATTGAGTGGCTCCAGCGTAATTGCGGTTATCATAGTGATCTAATGGTGAATTGACCCCGAAGGCGTTTAAATTCATATAATAAAATATAAAAGGTAACTATGCTTCTACCTGATGGCCATGTTTCACCAACTCGCTGATCAGAGCTCGATGCATCTGGAAGTGACTTACGGCTGGAGCTGCGGAGACTGCAAGTATTCTGGCGCCATCTATTAAAGGTGCTTGAGCCGACAGCACAGCTCTAGTGCCAAAAGGCCAACGAGAATCCTTGTATACTGATTGGATAGAAATAGCATAAAAAAAGGTCTTATTTATAAGGCTTATACGTATGTATATGTAAGTCAAAATAATTGGCTTAAAATGGCAATAAATTAATTAACACGTATCATAATATTGAAAAATTAGTACTATTATCTTTGTTATCGACCTCATCAATTATTTTATTGTGATGTGCTGAGTCGTTAATTTTAAGTATTGATCATTACTCGGTACCGTTTTGAAAGCATCCATTACCTTCGATACACGGTATCGATGTGTTGAAACTTCTAATAAGAGTGTACAACAGCCAAACATATGGAACAACTTTTTTCAGGAGAGCCTCGCATTTGAAAAGCCGAATGCTCATAGATAAGCTCTAATCGTGAATAAAACGTAAATGTTTGTATGTATATATATATTCTGCATAAGTTTTATGACAGTTATGCGATAAAAACCGGAATAAGGCTTTCTCTAAAACTTCTTACTGTCACGTTCCTGGTTTTAAAAATTTACCCAACGAGAATTTCGAGAGTACATATTGCACACCATCTTCAAAAGTGACACAACTCGAGATAACACGTTCGTCAGAAAATGCGAAAAACTATTTCGTAGCACATGCTAATCATATGGGCAAGGGAGATTTTACCTTAGGTTTTTTCAATAAATTATAACAAATTTTTTTTTATAAGGGTTTTGTGCATATTTTTAGTGCATAATTTCAAAATTGCGAAAATTTTGAGTTGTGTCACTTTTGAAGATCGTGTGCGATATATTATATTAGCTTGGAGCTGATGGCACCGCAATGCATTGAAGAGCGAACTACCATAGGTATTACGAATTAAAAAAAGTCAAATAATGTTGGCTAGTGCGATGAGTACAAGAAGGCGATGAGAATGTTGTTTGCGACGGTAATATTTCATTCTTTAATAATTTCTTTATAAACTTTAAATATATACATAAATAGTACGATGAAAATTTAATGTATTGCATCGGTATCGGGTACGGAAAAGGAAGTACCTATTGGGTACCGAAATTTATTTAAAGTTTGGGTATCGACAATTCAGCACATCACTATTCTTTGACAAGCACTTTCGATAAAAAAGCAAGAATTTGTCGAATTTAAGTGAACAAGTATGATTAAATCAAGCAGTTTCCTTGTGATGGTATTAACGTGTCAATGCCCTGGATATTGAATTTAAATACGTAGTTTAATAATAAATGGATTCAAATTCTACCTGACGATTAAATCTTTTAAAAAAAAGTCAGCGCATTCACCCCTCGGTGTTCACGTCTCTGATGACAATTAAATTTTGGAAACTTTAAAGACTTAAAGACGATTTTTAAATCACAGTGATTTTTTATGGCTATTGCGATCGCTAGTTCTTTTAATAACACAAAAAATATGTAATAGTTCTAATAAATGATGACAAATCAGTGTTGGTGCATGTAGGAATAATTCAATAGCCGTAGGGATTTCAGTCGCACAAATCAGTGTAGGGAAAAGAGGAAAAGGTTTCATTTATTCGCTCAGGAATTTTCGTATTTACGTATTTATTAATATTTGCAGCCAACTTACTCGTTGATACAAATTTTGAAATATGTAAAAACTGAAATGCAAATAACGTGATCAAATGACAATTTAAAAGAACCGTGGAAGGATAATCCAAAAAGGCAAAATGTATACATATGTAAGAGCATATTCACAATGACTAATTCAAAATTGTAAAAGCACCATTTCTACCATCATAGAGAAAAATCATCACATATCAGAATGTTCTGAGTGCATTTATTGTAGAATATCTCAAACTATACAACGGAAACGTCAGAGGCGCCTGACAACACTACAAATGTTCAAGGCCAAAAATTTAAAGCAACCCTCATAGTTATGATAAGCACTATATACGTATGCACATTAGGGTGGTCCAAAATAAGTAAAGTCGGCATTTTAATGCTCTCACCGCCTCATATCTTGTATATTGTATATCGAAAAAATATACCCCTATTTTTTATTTTGAAATCAATATGGAATTAAAACAAATATTTAGAGGTCGTTCAAAGCGCTCAAAATTTTCCATGTATTTTATATGGGGAAAAAACCACTTTTTCTTGAAATTGTATGAAATTCTTGAAAATCCATATTTTTCGATCGGAAAACTCTGGTTCTCTTCAGGAGCCTTCCAATAAAAATACCCAATTTTTTATTTTACCATTTTAAGTGCCAAATTTTTTTTTATTTATCCCCCCATTGCATTTTCTGGGGTTTTGGTGGATGAATAAAATATAGTTACTATGAAAAAATAGTTAAATAAGAAACTGGGTATAATTACTAGGAATCTCCGGCAGAGAAACAGATTCTTCCGTTCGAAAAATATTGATTCTCAAGAATTCTAAACCATTTCTTCAAAAAATTGTTTTGTTTTCATATTAATACATGGAAAAGTTTGAGCGCTTCGAGCGACTTCTAAATATTTTTTGATATCAAAATAAAAATTAGGGGTATATTTTATTCGGTGAAGAACCTAATTTGCCCACCCGGGCTTTAAAGTCGGCATGCACGATTTTTGGGCCATACCATAACGTCCTTTTCTTCCGTCGCACGGTGCATTTTTTTTGGGGGTTTGAGTGATCAAAATTAGATAAAAACATAAAGAAGTATATGAAATATTTTTAATTGTAATAATCACCTAAATATATAAAAATGCTGATTTAATGAAAATGTTGTAGATGATTTCCGACCCTCTAATCACATCACTTCGACACAATGTAAAAAAATATTGGGAAAAGAAGTTGCTGCATATCTTTTGGTATAAACATTTTTAAACCACTTTTTATTGTTCTTCGAAGTTCAATTTAAGAATTAATATTTTTGCATTGTCAATTATAGTAGAAAAAATTTCAAGTTAGACAAAAAACGGTCGGAAAAATGCTAAATTTTTCCCCAACTTTAATATGAATAAATATGATTTCTAACCTATTTGTGGCTGATTTTACGGAGCAAAATTAAAAAAATAATTAAAAATTTAAATTTTATCGATAATTTTCATTAAAATATTTCCGAAGATCTTGAAGTTTGAATGAGAATTGTATCATTTTAAACTCTTTTTCGTGCCAGTTTACAAAGTCGATTTTTTTTTAATTTTTTTTGCAGCTATTAATAATTACAATACAAAAAATATAAAAAATCGATAAAATATGTTTTTTGATAATCTAAAAGAACTGTCAGTGTATATATATATATACGTATATAGTGTACGTATATATTTCAATTTATTTTTTAAACTTGGGCTAACTTTTCGAGGTAAAAGTGAAGCATTATTTAAATTTTTTGCGAAAAAAATTTTAAGCCCATTCAAATATTATAGATTATTGATCACTCACACCGCTAAAAAAAAGTACACTGTGCACAGGTGACACCCGCTTGCAGTCGAATCTCATGATGAACAGACCCTGCTAGCATGCACCTTTCAAACGTCAGCGTTTGTTACGCTCGATTCTACCTACATTCCGACTAGCCTACATTAATCCAATATTTATTCCTTCGAAAATTGAAGCTACTCTTTAATAATACAAAATTAAAAATTAATACAAAATGTTGTAAATTTTATTTATACACTTAAAAACGATATTCAACAACAACACTTCCCTAACTATTTGTTTAATGTTCAAAATCCATTTTATTACTGCACTTTTTGTTTACTTTTCCCACCACTAATCCTTCGTAAAATCCAACGCAGCGATAATATACAAACTCCGACTGCCGCTGCAACCACGGCCGCAACCAGAGCAGCAACATCCAGTAAGTAGAACTGATACCATTTCAAATCCATGCCAGCGGCACGCAAATGACGTGCACCATTGTGGCGTACAACATAGTCGATCCAATAGAGTAAAGTCTCGCGGGGACCCATTGGACGATCGCGGAAAATGCGCGAGAACCGTTTGGCAGTATCCAGGTATTTAGGATTATAGAGTAACTCCTCCAGACCTTGTTTCAAATCTTCGCGTGTGAACGTACGAAAATCCAAAGAAAGGCCACGGCCAGCAGTCTGAGCTTGCAAAAGATTTAATTGCTGGCGAATGAAAGAAAAATATTAAGACAATGGGAATTACGAAAAAGTTTTTGTTTAATTTCCAACTCACCTGATCGAAAAAGAAAGGCATACCCAAAACTGGCACTCCATGGTACACAGATTCCTGTGAACCAAAAAGTCCGCCGTGGGTGATAAAAACACGTACATTAGGGTGTGCTAAAATATCATTTTGTGGCATCCACTTTTTCGTCATAACATTGGCTGGTAAATTCGGTATGCTGTCGTTCTCGAATTTCCACAAGACGCGTTGTTTTAGCTGACGGAAAACATCGATAAACATTCGTAGTTTTTCTAGTGGCATGTCTTTGCCCTGAACTTGGGTACCAAAGCTAAAGTAAATGGCGCCATGCTCTGCCTCATCCAGAAATTTCTGTAAATCGGTGGGTAGTGGCTTCGGTGGATAGATATGCAAGCCACCAACATTAATAATGCTATCGATTGTGGGTGCCGCCGGGGCTAAGGGTGTGTGGTTATTTATGAATATGGCAGACAGATTCTTCTCCATAGCCGAACTGCTAGGGAATTTAACTGTAATAAATATTTTAAAGCCAGGAATAATAAGTTTTCGTTTAACAGTAAATTGAGTATATTTTTAATAAAAATTTGAAAATTCCTTACTTGGCAAATGTCCAAAGTATTTCTGCACAAGCGCATCTACTTTGGGAAAGTAATCAAATTCGCGTTGTAGATCCATGCGAAGTGAGTAGTAGGCATTGGTGCATCGTTCCCAAAAGTTCATGCGCTCAGTTAGTGGTAGAAACCCGGAAGGGACATACGACCAAGGCGAAATTATGCCAAACATCTGACTCATGTAGTTTTGTTGCGCGTATGTGGCAGAGCTGACAACGGGTATTTTATAGATGTGAGCCAAGGCGAGAAAGGCTTCTTGGTTTAACTGTTCTACCAGCAGCAAATCGTAGACGCCTTCAGTTTGTTTAGCATTGATAATTGCTTGCACCTTCGGCACATTTAGCGTATGTTCGGATACCACCAAACCCATCATTTCAGTCATTTTCATTATAAAAGACGGACTCATTTCCGTTTCATAAACGGAATTTGTGTCGCCCTGATCTTTACCTGCATTGAGAGAGTAACAACAACAATTTAAGAAATTAAAAATTTCCCTTACCATTCAAACTTACCAAGGTCCATATATTTGAACTCGGGCTCAATGAGTATCTCTGTGTAGTTGCTGCCAAGTTTGAGCGGCGCAAGTGTGAGTGCGGTTATCATGGTGACCTAATGGTGGATTCAAAATAAATGGATTAATTTCATATGTATGTACATATGTAAAAATCTGTGTGGGAAAGACTGTTTTTACCTGATGGCCATGTTTCACCAACTCGCTAATCAGAGTTCGATGCATCTGGTAGTGACTGGCGCCCGGAAATACATAGACTGCGAGTATTTTTGCGCCATTAGTGGTGGGTGCTTGAGACAGCAGTCCAGCCAATGCTAACATGAAAACGAGAATTTTTGAACTCTACAAATAAAAAGCCGGGTTTGAGTAATTAAGTACCATAACGATATTGTTAATTATTATCGGTTAATTGAGAATGTTTGAGTCAATTGAATTTCTAATTTTGTATTTCCCTTAAATATGAGAATTCAATTTTCTCGCTTCGTTTCTTGCTTCATACAAATTATATTTGCACGAATATTTTCGGGAGCTCTTTGTCATATTAAATGTGGGAAAAATGGCTGGTAGAAGCTGAGTTCCAAGCTTTCCCATGGTCAAAGATTATAAGACATTCAACCCAATTCTTAACAGTATCGGGGAGTTTGTTCTAAGAGAATTTGTACCTCCCGAAATCCTCTTATAATTAACTCCCAGGGAGTAGCATTTTCGCCAAAAATTTGGAAGGAGGAAATTCGAACTGCGAAAAAGCTGTTTGACACTTTTTTGACAGCCCAACTCCGCTATTTAATATAAAAAATTTTCAGAGAATTTTTATTCATGATAGGAGGAATGAGAAAAGAGACGGAGTTCCTGTTGAGAATCGGCCTGATTTACTTTGCTGAGTACTCTTCTGCGAAGTTTACAGGAGTGAGCTTGACTACCTACTTTACGGTGATATGCAATGCCTCATAGCACGAACACAATGAAAACGACGAGCTACGGACCACAACTGTCAAATTATTTTTCCACGTATTCTTATGTAGATATTAATTTTGGCAACGACAGGGCTAGGCGACAACTGTGGTTGTGGCCGGATTAGATCTATTTCAAGTTTTCCAGCGATAGATAAGGTTCTTCAAACTTATATAAATTCATGTCGCCATCGGCAAAGCCAGAATCCAGCCCCAGGGTTAGACAAAAGTACTTCAACTCAGTGGAAGCATTGACCATAGATGAAAATTCGACCATTTATAAGATTTATTTTTTATTTTATTTAGATTTATTTTTAAAAATTGCATGTTTCTGAACAAGTTTTGTTACCATTCCTATACATATATGTAATCCTTGTGGCAAGTTATAGCTTACAATTTATTTTCTTTTCTCGATAAAAAAAGACATTCGAGAAAACTCAATGACTTTTAAAAGAACAAGGCATAATCGTCGAACTGTTGTGTATATTTTTCTAAAGCAACACAAATTTCACGAAGCTAGATAAACAGAAAATAAGCTCAAAATCCATTTTATTGAATACAAAGATTTCGATTTTTTACCCATTTCTGTACATATTTACCATTCTTGTTAATCCCTGCCAAAAATATTTTTCGATTCTTCCAATTATTTCTGTATCGATTAATGCCACCGTACACTGAAAACTATAATTTTGCACTAAAACAATAATACTTCAGGTGCCTTATATTTAATTTCTAATAAATTTTTCAAGTTCTTGCTTATCAGTGTGTTAGGATAAGATTTTCATTGTAAAATTATTTGGTAGAAGCGCAAATCATGTTTGAATACAGGTGCAATCATAGCGATAACAACTGCAAAGTATTGGAATTTCACTTTCATATAGCTTCTCAATGGTATACATATGTATGTACATACATACGTACATATGCATGTAGATTATCGTTATTCCATTTATTTATGTCATTCCTAATGATAATATTAATGATATATTGACGCTTACACTTTTGTTAATTGTTTGGCCGAACTTCTCCTCCAATTTGCGGTGTGCGCCCTATAAGGGCAAATATGGAGGGAAAGTGATGAAGAAATGATAAAAATAAAAGTAAAAACAAAGATATGGGGATGAGGATACCGATAAAGGTAAAGATGAAGAAGAGGAAGAAAGATTATAAAGAGATAGATAGACACAGATACCCAATCTGGGAACTATTTTGGGATTTTAGAGATTTTCGGGTATCTCGGAATTTATCGATATAGCAATCGATATTTTTGTCAATTTTCTTATCGATATTTTTATCGATTTTGTTATCGATATTTTTACCGATTTTCTAACGATATTTTAAACGATTTTGCTATCGATATTGTTATTTGTTTTGTTATCGATATTGTTATGGGTTTTGTTGTCGATTATTTATCGATTCTGTTAAAAGTTATTTATCGATTCTTTTATCGATATTTTTATTGATTTTCTAACGATATTTTAAACGAATTTTTATCGATTATTTATCGATTTCGTTACCAAGTATTTATCGATTTGTTTGTCGATTTTGTATCGCTATTGTTATCGAATTTTCTATCGATTATTTAATGAACTTCTTATGGATAATTTTATCGATTTTGTTATCGATATTGTTATAGATTTTTTTATCGATTATTAATCGATTTTGTTATCAATTATTTATCGATGTATTATCGGTTAATTATTGATTTTGTTATAATTTATTTATCGATTTGGTTATCAATTATTTATCGATTTTGTTATCGATGTTTTAATCGAATATGTTAAAGATATCTTTATCGACATTTTTATCGATTTTTTAATCGTTCTTCGTTATCCCTTTGTTATCGATTATTTATTGATTTTGTCATCGATATTTATATCGTTCTTCTAATTGGTTTTTATACCAATAGTATTATCGATTTTACTATCGAAATCGAATTTGTCATCGATTTTGTTATCGGTTTTGTTATCGATATTTTGTTGGATGTTACTATGGATTTTGTTAAAAATAAAGATAAAGGGAAACAGGATAACATAAATTTTATTAGAACGAACAGCGGTAGAATTAGGGATCTAGATAGAAAAAAGAGAAAAAATATAACCTTAATCAAAAGTAGATGTGTGTATATACATATGTACAAATGTATGTAAATTGGTTATGAGACAAAAGAGGTATGTAACGTAAGTTTCACTTCTCCAGTACGGCCCAGGCGCACTTACTTTTTTTCTAATTTAGATGTGGCTTGGACCAGGTAGCGAACGCAGACCCTACGAAGTGGTCGTCCGCACCTATAACAACTCAGCCCCAGCGTCACATATATACCTAGATTTTATTATGGCTCATTTATGCAATTATTAAAGTTCGATTCGTGCAAAAGTAGTCGATAAGAGTTGCTCTTCTCAGAATTTGCAGAAATGTAAGCAAATTTTTAAGAAACTAACAACAACTTAAAATTGCAATTGAATATTTATGTATATTTTTCACTAATTCGCTAATAAATTTGATGCTTTCGGCTTTTGACAGCTTCAGGCCAACGCTTGCTCAAAATTTCATATGACCTTCTGCCAAAAATTTTATTATTTAGTCTCCATTTATTTACGTGTGTATATACATTATTTATACTATATTATTATTTTTTGAATTTTTATATTTTATGTGGATACAGTTTAATATAATTTTTGTGTCGCTGTTATATGTGATCAAAAATGCTGTACTCTTATTTAGCTCACAGCTTGTTTTAAAAAATTGGCAAACATATAGAATTTTGCAGACATCTCCGTTTGATAACAATAAACGGAAAATGGCGACGGTTAGATTTCAATTCATAATGAGTGAAAAACACTCAAGTGGGCCACACAAAATTTAACGGTTAAGCTTTTTTCGCACAAATCACTTTATTCGGTTTACAACCATAAAAAATATAGTTTGAGCAATTTTAAAAAGTTCGAAATTTTACAGGAGTTATTTTTATTAACTATTTTTTGATGAATTCAGTAATTATTTATTATCCTCTGATTCATAGCATGTATCTTGCTGATTTTTTTCATGATAATAGTTAATTAGACACGTTTTAGCTTGATTTTTTCAATTTTTAAATAATCATTATTTTGTACAACGTTTTTATTTTTTGAAATTTGTTGTAAACCGAATAAAGTGATTTGTGCGACAAAATCTTGGCCGTCCAATTTTGGGTGGCCAACTTGAGAGATTTTCACTCATACCAAACGCATCCCTAGGTCACCAGCGCATTGTTCGGGTTAGAAAGAAAAAACCTTCTTTAACGTTCGTATTTGAACTTTACGTGAAGTTCGTTAATGTTGCCAGGCAGACGTACCATTGACAAAGTTTATAGTAAAATAGTAAAGATTAGATTTGTTTTCGCAAGAATATAATGAATGTATGATTGTTCTTATCTCGCGAAGTTTTATTTTATTTTATTTGATGACTTTCACAAAAATATCAATTTCACTTTTATAACCATAGCTTCACAACGGCATACATTACCTTATTATATGAACAAATTCGAAAGCGCCACTTTTTTCCTGTCCGCTTGACGTGAAATGACCCAAAACTTACAGTGCAGACGTACGCTAGACAAATTTGTAGTAATGTAGTAAATATTAGAATTGTTTACTTGCGTAATAATTCTATGATTGTTCTTATCTTGCGAAGCTTTATTTTATTTTATTTGATGACTTTTACAAAAATATCAATTTCACTTTTTTATCCATACCTTCACAACGGCATATATAACTACATAGGTACATTAACCTTAGAATACTAACTCATGTACATACGTAGGTAGGTACATTAGGCTGGGTCGATTTTGTATGGGGGAAAATAAAAGTCATTTGACCGCATTGTAATAGTAATATTATGATGTCCTAGGTCTAAGCCAATTGTTATTGGCCAAGAAGGATTAATTTAAAACTTATCTTTAGCCCGCGCAATTGAATTAAAGTGTATGGATTTGGAAAATGAAACGTTGGCTTGTAATATCTATGGAATGCGTCAATTTTTATAAACAGAACGATATATCAAATTAAAGGTTGTTAAATTTTGTATCTCACCATCATTTATCATTTTTCAATAAGTCTACAAGTTTTTACGATATTAAGCTAAAACTTACAAAAACTATAATTTTCCCTTATGAATTTTCAATTCTTCATTACTTCAGCAAGAAAGTGAAAAAGACAAAAAGTGAGACGAGATTTACTCGTATTTCAAACGTTTTAATATTTTCGGATGTTTATATAATATTAAAATGACCACGGACTTGGTCACGCCGATTTGGTCAGTTTTCAAGATCGTGGCGAATGAATGTATTGTCAAAGAATAGGAAGATAAGCACATTTTTCGTGGTTTCTAAATTTGCCGTTGTATGAAAGTAGGGGACGTGCAATAAGTGTTTAGATATATATAAATATATTAGTTAATTCCATTATGTGAAAAAGTTTCTGTAGGTAAATGCAATAGTCTTTAACATATCCTGGGAAATCCTTTTGAGGACTCTCCAATTGGACGATATTGCTTTGCATTCAGCTTTAACGAAAAAAGTCACTCGCTGGCACAGTTTTCTGTGATCCGGTTCTTTTATTTAAAGGTTATTTATACAATTGAAGAGACATTTTTTTAGAAAAAAACTGGATATCCACTTAATTTTTTCGATATAACTTTGGTAAATGTTACTCGATGGGTACGTAATAATTATAAAATTGAAGGCGAGACTAACTATTACTGATTTATGATAATAATATGATGAAAATCGTTCAGATTATAAACCAATTATTTTAAAATAAAAAATTTTAAACAAAATGTTTTTGTCATTTTGCTATATTTGCAATTTTTAAATTGTATGCATAAACATAAGTAAACTAGTTAGTGTTTCTAGAAGTTGTGCCTGTTAAGTGTTTCCACACTCATTTGCATAAACAAAATTTTTCCACGATGATGGAAAATAATGGCTATTCTATTAGAGCTGCCGAAATTGTTCCTAAATTTGCAAAAATTCGCAAACTATTGCCAATATTAAAAAAAGATTAGACTATTTGGAACCAGCGACCTAAATTCACGTCAAAAATATTAATGCTGTTACTTAAATCTTTTGACTATAAGCCAGTGCAATTATCAAGAGAACAATTAAAATTTTCTTGAAAATAGATGAGTTTGAGATTAACGATAAGATAAAGGGCTGCGCGAAATGATACTTGACTTTATCTTTTGCGTTAAAGGATTCATTATCTAATAATATGCACAACCCTTTTTACTGGACCCAGAATTTTTAACAAGAATTGGTCTTGTTCGAATAGTGTGCTGTGGGTAACTTGGCGGTCGATGCCCGGGCTCTCACAATTAAAATAAAATACTAATATTTTGCAGGCTTGTTGCTGACTTCATGATACAATATATTTCCACTATTACCAAGGGATTTGAGAAAAATTAGATTTTCGACCCGCCCTAATGTACATATCTGAATTTAATTGTGGCTCATTTGGGCATTCTTGGCATTGTATGGCAAAAAGTGATAGTAGAAGTTTTCTTCTAAGGAATCTCTTGAAGGAGCTTTGTGGGTGGAAGGCCCAGTTAATTGACTACAAATCAAAAAAATGTTTTTTTGAAGAAGTATGTAGGTTTAAATACATTACATAGATGTATCAGGTATAGAAATAAAATAGCTATCCAAGAAATGCGATGGACGGGACAGGGAAACGTAATTTGGTGTTGGATTCGTGGTAGGAGAGAGACTTCGTCGACGAGTCAAATCCGAAGCGATTCAAGATTATTCAAGATCTCGCTCATCTGCCCCCATCCGCAGACGGAAGAGAAGGACGAGGCGTCCAAGGATCTCTTCTATGGGAAGGGACCTTTGGCGCCACAATCGGAAAATTTAGCCTCCACGATGAAACGTTCGGTAATGGACTAAGACTGATTGACTTCACCGGGGCCCGAAACACGGTAGTATGCAGTACTAGGTTTCACCATGAGAAGATCCATTAAACTACATGGCTGTCTCCAGATCGAAAAACGAGAAACCATCGATCATGTTGTGATAGACGTGTTTCCAGTGACTTAGACATACGCACACTCCGAGAACCAAACATCGACTCGGACCACTATTTTGCTGCAGCCAAGATAAGCACCCGCCTCTATTCAGCAAAAAATGTGCGCCCAAAAATGCAAGGAAAGCTTAACTAGGAAAGCTGTAGTCACAAGCGACGGCTAATACATTCGCTCGGCTAGACTCCCACACCTGCTTTAACAGAGCACTATTCAATAAACCGAAATATGCGAGCAGTAGAAAAACATTTTCCGGCCCGAAAGAACAACTGGTATGATAAGGAGTGTCAAAAAGCTGCAGATAAAAAAGATGCCGCCTACAGGGCCACGCTACGATTGGGCGCAACGCGAGTCAAATGGGACCGTCGTTGGGAACTGAAGACGGAAGCGAGATATATTTGCCGCGATAAGAGGAGAAAGGCTGAAATACGTGAGTTAGGCGACTTACTGAAAGTTTCAAGACCAAGGCGAACTCCTGTAAGAACAACCCTGGCGACCTAGTGACCGGTGTCCAAAATGTACTTAAATTATGGAAGGAACACCTTTCCACCCTATCGAATGGCAACAGCACTGAAAGTAGTGGATAAGACAATGGGGTCGATGTCCCACCGTCACTTACGACACAGTTGGGAATCCCCAAATAATTTCTTGAAGCTCTTTCATTTGACATCCGTCGTTAATATTTCATAAAACTTGGGAATAAAATAGTTCAATTAGGCTACTCAAATCGGTGGCAATCCTATTCAAAATATTTCCAAACTACTATTTTCCTAAACCTATTTTGTATGACACCCCCACTCTTTCGTTGGGAAAACATTAATTTTTCAAATAATGTTTATATTCGTTTACTCATTGGATATATTTGTTCGGGCATGCACCGGATTGGTTGACGTGTTATCTCTGCCTTGTGGACGACGATTTGTCGGAGAAAATTCTGCGTATTTATTTGGCCATGACTTCTCGGATTTAATGGATCTTCACCACATCTAACATATTAGTTAGAGTTGGGAATCTT